AGTTGGTTAGAAGACTAAAGGAGAGAGCCATAATTGGCATGACTAAGACCTTTATAACACTGGCCTAAAGCCATGAGGCGGGAGGCTGAAGGGATTCAGAAGCTGTCCTCATTATGAACATGCTTCAGAAGCTGTCCTCACTGAGAAATTGTATCCTGTTGCTGACTGAAATAGTATCTTTTTAACTTCCCTATTGCAATCACTTATTATGCATCAGAGAGTTGGACAATGACTAGGGAGGACAGAAGGAGAATTAATGCCTTTGAGCTGTGGTGCTGGTGAAGAGTATTGAATGTACCATGAACTGCCATGAAAACAAACAGATTCATCCTGGAGAGGGTTAAACCAGGCTACTCCTTGGAGGCAAGGATTCTGGGGCTTCGTCTGACATACTTTGGACATGTTGCAAGGAGGGACAGGTCCTTGAAGAGGGACATCCTGCTTGGGAGGGTGGAGGGACAGCGCAGGAGGGGAAGGCCCTCTATGAGGTGGATTGATTCAGTGACTGGGGTGATCAGAATGGGTGTGTCAGAGGCAGTGCGATTGGCACAGGATAGAGCAGGGTTTAGGGCTGTTAAGATAGGGTCGCTATGAGTCGCAAGCGACTCGATGGCACATAACAACAACAACAATAAAACCCCTCAATTGTGAGTACGATTTGTTGTATTCTGTGAGCTACTGCAATGGATTTCAAACCCAGTAGAGCCATAACATTACTACTGGAATTAGTGAAAAGATATGTGGAGCGTGGGGGAATGTCTGACCTCGTGGGAATTGGTTTTGTGATGTGGATGTTGGTGGTGGGAAGAGTTCTCCTTTGTGGCGTTAGCAGAGGTTGGGTATAGCCATCTCCAGGCTGTCCTACCTGTTTTTACACTGTATATCAATTTGCCTTCTTGATGTCTCCATGTGGGTGTATGTTGACCCCTTAGACATGTTTTTAAAGTGTTTTCCCCAAGCCGGCTGCACCACACTTTCATCTCAGTTAACGCCACCTTCCAGTTATTAGTCCAAAAATCTTAGACTTCTTCTTATCTCTTTGTTTTCTTTCATACTACTCCAACCCAACAGTGAATTTTGATGGTTCTACTTTTAAGAAGATACCTAGAAAGATGATGCATATTTCATCAGATCTATTCCTAAGATATTGGCATAAGACACCATCATCTTTTCTGGAATGCCTCCTAAGAGGCATTTTTCTGGAATGCCTCCCCCCCCCCACACACACACACACATACACACCCCTCTTCAATTGTTTTGCTCCAGTCTGTTCTTAAATTGGAAGCCACAGTGAACTTTTAAAATTACAGTTCAGATTTTATCATCCCTTGCCTAAAAAACCCCTTGTGATGGTTCCCAACTCACTCAGATTAAAAGTCAAATGCATTGGGTATTCTACAAGGCAGTATGTGATCTAGCTCCCAGATAACATCTCTGATTTTTAAATCTACTTTTCTTTCTCTCCTTCATTCTTTTTCAGTCGTCCTGTTGTTAGGTACTATCGAGTCAACTGTGATTTATTGTAACCCTATAAACAACAGGGCAAACATGACTCCATCCTAAACTATCCCCACAATCTCAGTTATGCTTAAAGCTGTTGCTGCAGCCTCCATGTAAATCTGTCCTTTTGAGACACTCTCCTTTATCAGGAATGATGTTCATCTCCATGGACTAGTCTTGTTCTGACAAAATGCTCCAAGTAAGAGATGAAGGAGCATTCTGGTTTCACTTCTTCCACAACAAATCTGGTGGTTGTTTTGGTAGTTTATGGTATAATCCGTAGTCTTCACACCACAATTCAAAGAAGGCATCACTTGCTCTTCATCATTGACCAAAGCTCATATGCATATAAGGCAATTGAAAATACCAGTAGTCAGATGCACCCTCATCATCAAATGACATCCTGGCTCTTTAGTTCTTCAGAGAGGTTCTTCACAGCACATTTGCCCATCATAATACATAATTTTATTTCTTTTTTTTAATAATAAGAATTAGTTTATTAGTGACTATTTTAGCAAAACTAACAACACATATAATTTATCCTATGCAGACCAGAAAGAATGTGTCAATCATAGTAAAATAAATAACTAAAATATAGCCAAAGTCACAAGGCTAGGAAGCTCTGCAAATGTCACTAGATTCTCTCTCACATCAAGTACTAGATCGCCTAATACCCCTAGTTGTTTGGGTTTTCTTTTTTATTTTATTTTTTGCTAGCAGAAAAGAGTGGTGTATATGCTCTTTCAAACATTTCCTGTTTTTTGTTGTTTTTTCTTTATGTAAACACTAGATATTAGTGATTTCTTGACTATTGTTTCCCTAGACATTGATTGTAGATCCAAGTGAAATGAAATCCTGGACAACTTAAATCTTTTCTTCATTTTCCACGTAGTTTATTAGACCAGATGTGATTATTTTAATTTCCTTTTTAAAATTTAATTTTATTAATTTTAATGAATATTTACAGAGATTTTGGATTTTAATTCAGTCATTATTGCACTTTTTTTCTTTACCCCTCTCCCCCCAGTTTGCTCCTCTCTTTGAAAAGCAAAAGATAAACTTCTACGTTTGTATACGACCTCGGCCCTGCCACCCTCCCGCCCCAAATGCACTCCACTATGCAACCTTAATTCTGGATTCCTGTGATAATCATAATATGCTATCATATATAACTTTTTTTTTACCAGAAAAATGTATGTTTGTGTTTTATTCAATTTACAAAGGCATTTGACTGTGTGGACCATAACAAATTATGTAAAACTTTAAGAACAAGGGGAATCACAGAACATTTAATTGTATTCATGAGAAATCTATACCTGGATCAAGAAGCTGTTGTCCAAATGGAGGAAGGTGACACTGCATGGTTTGAAATCAGGAAAGGTGTGCATCAGGGATTTATCCTTCTTTCATACCTATTCAATCTGTATGCTGAGCAAATAATTAAACCTGGGCTCCATGAAGATGTGACATGATGATTGGTGGGAGACTCATAAACAACCTGAGTTATGCAAAACTAGGCATGCTGAAAATGAGGAAGACATGAAGTGCTTGCTGCAGAAGAGCTACAGCCTTAGATATGGATTATATACATGTATATATCTCAACACCAACGAAACATAGGTCCTCATCACAGGGCAACAATCAACATCATGATAGACAAAAATAGGATTAAAGGTGTCAATTATTTAATCTTGCTTGAGTAATAATCAACACCCATCAGAAAATCTTGATACCTCAGAAAATCAGGAGACATATTACATTGGTCAAGTTGCTGTCAGGAATATCTTCAAAATACTGGAGAGTAACAATTTCAGCTTGAAGATTAAGTTGCACTTGATCAAGCCAGGGTATTCATTTAAAAAAAAAATTCTGGTTTATTTTCAAAGGTTTTTTTAAAAAAATAATTTTAATGAACATTTATAGAGATTTTGGATTTCCATTCATTCATTGCTGCACTTCTCTCCCCGCCCAGCCCCCCCCTCCCCCCCAGTTTGCTCCTTTCTTTCAAAAGTAAAAGAAACACTCCCTCCCTGGTACACAATCCCCCTGCACCCCTCCCACCACCCCAAGTACATTCCACTATGCAACCTTAATTGTGGACTCTTGTGATAACCATAATACCCTATCATATATCTCTTTTAAATTATTCATTCCCTCATCTGTTTCAGTGCAGTATACACAATATATCCAGTTTTCTCAGTCTTACCCCAACCCTGTTATCAGTCCCATTTTATAGCAGTGGCACCATGCATTATTTGTCCTTTTGCAACTGAGATATTTCACTCAGAGTAATGTCCTCCAGGCTCACCCATTTTGCATAATATTTCATGAGTTCCTTGTTTTTCAATGCAGCATAGTAGTCCATTGTGTGAATATACCAGAGCTTCTCTATGCATTCGTTTGTTGACGGGCACCTGGGTTGTTTCCAACTCCTTGCTATTGTGAACAGAGCCATGATAAACATGGGTGTGTATATATCTGCTTAGATGTCAGTTATGGTCTCTTTGGGATATATTCCCAGTAGTGGAATTACTGGGTCAAATGGTATCTCTATTTGCAACTTTTTGAGAAAGCGCCATACTGCCTTCCACAGTGGCTGCACCATTTTACACTCCCACCAACAGTGAATAAGGGTTCCAGTTTCTCCACAACCTCGCCGGCATTTGTTGCCTGCTGTTCTGTTAAATTTTGCTATTCTTACTGGGGTGAGATGATGATATCTCATAGTTGTTTTGATTTGCATCTCTCTTAGAGCTAGGGATTTTGAACATTTCTTCATGTGCTTGTTGGCCATCTGAATGTCTTCTTTGGTGAAGTGTCTGTTTATTTCCTTTATATTGACTTAATTGTGGGGTGTTCTGGTGGCATAGTCCACAGGGACCGCTAAGCCAAAGGCCACTTGTCTCCATTGATTCCCATCCACCAGTGGCTCCTCAGGAGAAAGATGCACAATTTCCTCCCTCATGATTTTTAGCCTTGGAAAGTCACTGCACTATGACAAACTGACAGATGAGTGGTGGTTATCTCTTAATAAAGAATGAACTTTTGTAATGTCAATTCTGAGGTAAGGTGTCTTCCCTGTATACTGAATATGAGAGGAGCAGGCAAGCACTACTTCTTTCACTATATCTGGGCTTAGTGCGTATGTACATGCTCCTTACTTGGGGAGTATTTCCCGGGCTAATTCGTTCATAGGGTGGCTATGAGTCGTCTACTACTCGACAGCACTTAACAACAACAATCAAGCCCACAAGGAGGTATGCTCAGAGAAGTGAAAAGAGCATGTTGAGGATACAGCATTTGAGAACAATGTTGGTTTTGCCTTCTCAATTCCATAAATTTACTTCAGGATACATCGAAAAGAAACACATTTTAACAAGGTTTAAGAAATCCTCACAGATAACAGGAGGGGCCATAGATGCTGCTGAGTTAAGCAATACCTCCTTGAAGGAGAGGTAGTCTGTTCCTTATACTACTTTATTGCTTGTTTTGCAGATCCTTTGTTTATTGTATCAAGTGAGAGAGACCATGCACAGGCAAATATCAAAGCCACCATGGCTCAAAACAAGCTGGTAAGTCTAACTCATCCACTGATGAGCCACTTAGTCTGGCCAGTTGCCTTCATCAGACTGAATCATTTGCAGCTCTCCCCTGGATTTTGTGCTCTTCAGAATTGCTAGTGGCCCAGTGTGAGGATGAATTAACTTATAGGGAATAATTGACTCATTATAAACCACTTTATTTTTAATGGGAGCTATCTTATAGGATCATATATATTCTGTCAGATAAGGCCACTGTAAATTGCACTCAACTCAATGAAACAGTCACAATAACATGCTATAAATACTATGCTGCACCTTTTAAATTATTTACAGTTTAAAGTATGACGCTTTAGGAAATCTAATGGTGTAATTTTGTCCATTTCCTCGCTGCTTCCCCATCCTAACCTAGAGAAGAATTCCCAGATTTAGATCCATGTTCAGTAACCTGAGGCATTACCCTCGATTTTGTCTGTACTGGGACAAGCATGATCCCGTCCCAGCCTTCATTAACCGGAGGTGGAGAGGAGCTGACGAACAGCAGAGAGCAGCGCTCCAGCAACTTGCAGCGTAAGTGCCTGGCAGCTGCTAAGAACATGTTTTCCTTTTAAAAATTTCTATTAGCTTATTCTGCATGATTTAAAACTGTAAAGTTATGATGTTATACCTAGGCCAGTGGACCCCCAACTCTTTTTCTCAACTTATCTGACTCATATAAATGAGCCTGATTCAGGGATAATAGCATTTCTATTGGTAAATAGTAATTAGTAAATGGTATATGAATGTCAGAAGGACATGTGTATTAAAAGGCAACTTAACATGCAGGATGACTGAGCTTTTAGAAATTGCAAGTGCACATTTCTGCTAGTATCCAAACAAATGATTTTGTGGAGACTGCCACCCAGAGCCCCCCTCAGATACATATCTCTTGAATTCCCTATTCTTTTAATGATTTACAAATGTGCATTTAGTAAATACAAAAAAAAATAAGTATTTAGGACCTAATGCTTCTGCTAGGCCTGGGCATAAAAAAAAATTATCTTTTAAAACTTGGTTATTTTAATGAGGTATTAATTAATTTGGGGCATTATCATACTTGGCAGTAGTTAAAACATGCAGCTCCTAAGCAAAAGGTGGGCAGTTTGAACCCATCAGGCTTTCCATGAGAGAAAGATGCCAGACCAGCTTCTGTAAAGATCAAAGCCCTGATAACATTATGTGGCAATTCCACTCTGGCACTCTTAAGATGAACTCAGTTCTACAACAACGGGTTTGGTTTTGGGGGAGTTGACTCTTTTCTCAGCTGACCCTTCGTCTTAGTAGTTCTTGGTTTTGGGGAAAGTGATCATATCTGGTCCAACATGTAGGACAGTAACTGCATGTTGGAGAGGACTTTGTTCTTAGAATGTAATACCCGGATACCTCCTATTTTGTAGACATAAGGAGTCTTGGTGTCTCAGTACATTAAGAGTTATATTGCTAACCAGAGGTCAACTCTTTGGAAGAAAGATGGTCAGTCTCTTCCGGTAAAGCTGTTTAGCCTTGGATAACTAATAGAGGGTCACCAAGTCAGAGTCGCCTTGAGAGCAGTTTTTGGTTTTATAAACCTAGAAGTAGCTAGTAGAAATTACAAGTGGAACTGTTGTCTTAAACTTGAATAATGTTTTCCTGCTTCATTTTAGATGTGACCCTTCTTTTCAGATGCCTAAAGAAGTTTATGAAGATCCTGAAGTTACTGGAAGGAATCGCTATAAATATTTTGAAAGGTAGAAAGTAATTATAATGTACATGAACCCTGGTTTTATTAGAGAATAATTTTACTATACTGATAATAAATACCATTTTTTAAAAGTGCTTTCAATTTATCAGGTGCCATTTTAAGTGGTTTACACACATATCATGTACTTTTTATAATAGGAAAAATAGATCTTTCTTCTCATTCTACCAGGAAGTAACTGACACCCAGGGAGAGAGATAATTGCTCCAAGTCACACAGCTGGCAAGTGGGAGAGCTGGGATTTCAACTAGATTTGTCTGACTTTAGAGGTTCTGATTGTGCATGATAATGCATATTTGAAAACAAATTGAAGTCACCAAATGAAGGGAGAGAGAGCAGAGGTGTCATGGCATTTACAGGGCAGGTAAAATTGTTAGAAGGTGGAAAGTGGACAGAAATTATTAGTGAGCAAGTGGTCTCTTTGAATGCTGTCAAAACCAGCAAGGCCAGGAGAGTCTTCTGCTTAATTTGTAATTAATACTCACGTGATGACCATGCACTTTATTAAAATGAAGATGGGTGTTTTCTTATAGATCTTACCATAGTTGTTGCTGTTAGGTGCCATCAAGTCAAGCACAAATCATTGCGACCCTGTGAACAGCAGATCTGAACCCTGCCCTATCCTGTGCCAGCCTCATCAGTTCTGACACACTGAGCCAGTTGCTGGATGCCACAGCTACATAAGCTTCCTCGAGGAAGTAAATTTGTAATCCACATTATTACTTATAAGAAACCTCTTCTGGATATTTTATGAATCAGAATATTTCAGAGAAATGTTAAAACATGAAATATCATCTCTCTCTAAAATACCATAGATTCTTTTGTAGGAGGTTTTAAATGAAATCATAGAGAATTTCAGAATATCTCAGGGAACTTGGGAAATAACCGCCAGCTGAATTTCAGTGTGACATCCTTACCATCTACAGGTAAAACTAGAGTTTTACTGTGGCAATTGGACAATTAAAACAGACATTCGGATGGCGGGGAAGAAGAACAAACTGGGGAGGAGGGTGGAGAGAATGGTGCGGCAATGAAGGAGTGAAAGCCCAGAATCCCTGTGAATGTTCATTGAAACTAATAAAATTTAATAATAATTAAAAAAAAATAGAAATAAAACACTAGAGTTTTACTTAAAATGCAAATACTTCTACCCTCATCTGTATCTACTGACTTTATTGGGCCTGATCTTTTTTTAAATTGTGTGTTTATTACATTGTAAAGTGTTGCTTTCATATTTACAAAAGTCATGTGAGGTAGTAGGTAATGCAGAAATGAAAATACAGTTTGACCAAATTTGAATGACTTGACCAGATTCAAACAAACAGTATTTAAGGCAACAGAAGAACCTGGAGTTCTTACTCTAAATTTGGTATTCTTTCCATTATTTTTACACTGCCATGTCAAGTGTGACGAATCTCATGTTTTTTCTTTCTTTATTCTGGAATGTGTCAGAAAACTCACCCAAGAGAATCATGAATTCTCATTAAGTAATCATCTGCCATTTTTTAATTTAGAATACATTTAAAATGCTATTAAGACTGTTAATGAAACCACTGGACTGGTTAAGCATAATGGCATAGCTGAATTGGTGCTTTGAACAAGTGTATCCTCTACACTGGGTATTCTAACGTTTGATAATTGCTGATATGTGAAATAATCAAACTCACTGATTATAAAGGATGAATATTAGAGATGAAAAGAACTTCAGTGTGCACCCAGTGGAAAATTCTCCAGTCCTGTCTTTTTCTTCCCACAGACCTTTCCTGCAGGGTTTTAAACAAGTACCATTCAACGTCGTCTTTTCAATACCCAAGTAAGTAACTATTATTAAAAACTATTTTCTAATTTTTTTTATTGTTTGTTTCCTATTTGATTCTAGAACATAGTTACCTAAACCAGCATTTTTCTAACTATGGGTCACAAATCATATGTTATGAAATCTTAAAAAAGAAGATTATGAAATCTTCTTGGGATATATACGCACTTGTGATACAAAGTGTGCTTTTATGTGTTGTAATAAAATATAGTGTAAAAATTGTTTAAACACCTTCTCTTGCTACCCTGAAACATACAGTTCTTCAATATTTTATCATGATAATGAATCCCCCATGAAGTGTTTTTCAGATGCTAAGATGGTGTAACTTATTAATCATCTAATCTACTCAAGGCAGTGTTGAATACAAAGATAAGTAAAACATGATTTCTATCAAAGGCTGAAACTCAGATAAATGTATAGTTCTCCAGCCTTCACTTGTCATTTGAGACATCAAAGCTACAGGATCCCCTTAAAAATCCTTCCCTGCCCCCCACATTCTTTCTTATGTTAAAATAACATTTAGAACAAAAAAAAATTACAAAGCATTCGTAAAATGATAAAAAAGATAGATATCTTTTTTTTAAATTCCCAGATTTCTGAGGGATAGAAATTTCTAAATAGATATTTACTTAAGCCTGAATTTGCAGATAGCTGTTTTATAAATATTTGTTATTGTTGTTATGTTTCCTTCAAATTACAGTCGGCCCATAGCTGATGTGTCATAGGTATACTATGCCAGGAAGGAAAGCACAGGAAGAATGGTGTTACCTTCATAGTTAAAAAGACAATTTCAAGTTCCATCGTGAAGTACAAAGTTGTGAGTGATATTATCCATATGTCATGAGAAACCCCTTTTAATACCACTGTATACCTAGTGATTGTACTGCCAATGCAAAGTTATGAGTTATGATTCACCAGCTGCTCTTGTGGGAGAAAGATGAGCAGTCTCCTCCCATGTGACTTACTCTCTCTGGAAAACACACTGACACATCAGCTATGGGCTGACTGTAATCTGAAGGAAACACAACAGCAATAACAAATATTTATAAAATAGCTACCTGAAAATTCATGCCTAAGTAAATTTCTATTTAAAAATTTCTATCCCTCAGAAATCTGAGAATTAAAAAAAGAGATCTATCTTTTTGATCATTTTATGAATATTTTTACTTATGTGCAAGTTCAAATTGAGACCAAAGAAAATGAAAACAAGTCCATGAGAATAACAACAACAAAAAAGATATTGAGTCTATCCCACCTAAAAAAATCATCTAAGAATAGATTTGAAGCATTGAATAATGGTTGAAGATGGGGTGAGTTGTAAGATGACATCAAGCATATCATCCATGAAGAGAGTAAAAGGCCACTAAAAAAGACAGAGGAGGAAGAAAAAGCCAAAATAGATGTCAGAAAAAAACTCTGAAAATTACAATAGAGCATCAAGAAGCCAAAAAATGGGAAGAGATGCTGACGTAGATGAGCTGAACAGAAGATTTCAAAGGGCAACTCAAGAAGGCAAAGCAAACTATTAAAACATAATATACAGAGACTTAGAATTGGATAACTGAAAGGGGAGAACTCGCTTGGCATTTCTCAAGCCAAAAGAGCTGAAAAATAAATTTAAGCCTTGAGTTGCAATACTTAGAGGTGCTATGGGCAAATTCTGGAATGATTCAGGAAGCATCAAAAGAAGATGGAGGGAATACACAGAATCACTGTACCAAAAAACCCCCTAGCTGACATGGAAATATTTCAGGAGATCAAGAAGCAATGGTAAGGAAAGAAGACATTCAAGCTGCAGTGAAGGCACTGGCAAAAGGTAAGGCCCCAGGAATCAATGGTGTACTAATTAACATGTTTCAGATGACAGATGCAGTCCTAGATGTGCTCATTCGTTAATCTATGCCAGAAAATTTGGAGGACAGCTGTCTGGTCAACTGACTGTAAGAGATACATATTCCCATTTAGAAAAATTATCCAACGTGAAAATTACTGAATAATATCATTAATATCACATACAAGTAAAATATTGCTGAGGGTTATTAAAAACTGACTATAATAGTACATACATGGGAAACTGGTAGGAGTTGAAGTTGGATTTAGAAGAGTTTGGGGTCCCAGAGATATCACTAATGATGTCAGTTGGTTCCTGGCTGAAAGCATGGCAAAAGATATCTAATTGTATTTTATTGACTATGTAAAGGCATTTGACTTTGAGGATCATTGAGAAGAATGGGAATCCGAGGACACTTACTTGTGTTCATATGAAACCTATACCTAGACCAAGAAGCTATTGTTCAAACAAAGCAAGGGACCACTACATGACTTAAAATTTAAAAAAGGTATGTGTTAGGGTTGTACCTTTTCCCCATATCTATTCAATCTGTATGCTGAGCGAATTAAGAAGCTGGACTCTATGAAGAAGAATGTGGCACCACAATTGGAGAAAGAATCATCAATAATCTTCCTTATGCATCTGATACAATCTTGCTTGCTGAAAGTGAGGAGGATTTGGTGCAGAGGATCAAACACTGCAGCCTTCAATAAAGAATGCATCTCAATGTCAAGAAAACAAAAATTCCCGCAACTTGACAGATAGGCAACATCATGACAGATGGAGAAAAGATTGAAATTATCAATGACTTCATCTTACTTGGATACACAATCAATACACTTGGTACTAGTAGTCAAGAGACCAGGAGACAGATTGCCTTGGGATAGTCTGCAGTCTGGGACCTCTCCAAATTACTGAGATGTGATATTACTTTTAGAACTAAGCACCTGATTCAGACCATGGTCTTTTCTATCTTTGCTCCTGAGAGCTGGACAAAGAATAAGGAAAATAGGGGGGAAATGGATATCTTTGAACTGTGGTGTTTGAGAATAGTACCAAATAGTCCAATGACAGCCCAAAGAACAAACTTTCTTGGACAATGTGCAGGCTAAGTGCTCTTTGAAGGCATGGATGGTAAATCTTCATCTCGCATACTTTGAGCATGTTGGGAGGAGAGGCTATTCCTAAGACATCATGCTTGGAAAGGTGGAAGGACAGCTAAGGAGAGGGAGACCTTCAACCACATGAATTGACACAATGACAGCAGCAATGGGCTTGAGTATGGCAGAAATTGTAAGGTTGGCACAGGATAGGACAGGTTTCATATCTGTTGATCATAAGGTCACTATGAGTCATGCTTGATAGCACTTAACAACAATAACAAGACTCCAGAGCATTCCTTAATAACAGCAAATCAGTTTTTCTTTTTTTT